CATTGCTAGGAAGTCATTAGTCCTTTAAAAGCAAAATTCCAGGAAAGGAACTAGGAGCCACCAATCACCTCCTGTTCTCTGTTCCTGATATTTCAATATAAACAAGCTGTATTAACTCCAAATAGAATTTATCTCGCGCACTGATGGAATGTGTCCTTTATGCTTTCTCCCCTGTAAGGCCTCATATTCACCACTCAAAATTTAGCAGTCTTCCTTTGATAAATTACTCAAAGTAATCCCTGAAACAGCTAGACTGCCTGGGTGATGTGGTTTTAGAAGTCTTCAAACCGTGCCTGTCTATAAAATATTCACTTGCGGACTACAAAGGGGGGATCATTTTTAATGACAAGATTCAGAACTGGGAGTAAAGGGGGAAGAGATTAATATCCATGAATTCAAATAATTTCATTTCAAATACTGAACTTAGAACTTAGAACATTATATCTCACTGGTGTACACAGTAGCGAAGAATCATCTGTATATGAGGTGTGGACAAACATAGAGTTGCCAAGCATATGAAGAATGGGAGTTTCCACTTTCAGAAAACTTTTCCTTCTTCAAGACCATTCATGACATAGAGCCAGATGCACATTTAGAAACTTGTAAAATACATGTATAGGCAGTAATTCATATAAATATGAGATTTTTTAAATTGTGGAGACAGTGTGCTGCTACATAATTAAAGATATTAATTTCTGTTGTTTTTTTTTTTAAGAAGCTAAATGTTTATTGTGTCTCTCGTAAGGACTGGCAACTTGGAAATGCATTTTCCATGCTCTTTATGAATGCATCCCCAAGACTGCAGTCCTTGAAGCTTTCAGGAGGTTTTCATTAAAGCAGCCAGCTGCCTCTTTGTGTGGATTGGCTGTTTAAAGCTGTAGCTCTGAGGTGGGAGCCTCAGTTTTGACATTCTGTAGGCCCTTAGCGAAGAAGTTCCATTCGAATGTGGGGGAGCTCTCAAATGAAACGTCATCTGGGGGGCCAGCAGGAGAGCAGAAAGCACAGGAATGAAGGGCTGGGACACGGGAGGAGGAAAGAGGGAAGGAAGGGGGAAAGGAGGGGGGAGGGAGGGAGGAGTGGGAAAAGAAGAGATTCAAACAACCCTCCTCCAAGGAGGATACATTTAAAAGGAGACACCAACAGGCAATTTTATCCAAGTTTAAGCCAGTTGCCACCTCCTAAGAAATTTCCCTGTTTCCTGATTTTTATTATCACGAGACTACCTAAATAAGAAATAAATTAAGATCTATCAAATGAATACCATCTCTATTTTAATAACTGTGCCTTTTCAGCACAGTGTGTGGGGATGGTTATGGGTGTTTTCTCTGCCAAGTCCTGGTACAGAGAAATAAATAAATGTTTTTGTTTTTGTTTTTGTTTTTGTTTTACCTATAGTGTGAGTGTGTTTAGTAGATGAATGAGTTAATAAATTAGAGTTCAAGTTAGAGAGCATGGACTGATACCATTACTGTTATTCAAGTGAAGACTTTGGGGGCCATGGGTTAAGGGGCCAGGCCCAGCTCACTCTTTTGAGGAGTGTGACAGGGTGGAGATAAATAGGGGTCTTTTCGGTTACGTTCGGATACGTTGAGCTGTTTCCTCTCCACGCAGAGCACCCGGGCAAGAGGGAGTCCGCACTATTTCTTCAAACCAGTCCAGGTCAGGATACCCACAGAGTACAGCCCTTCCTGGGACCTAAGGGAAGGGCCCAGGCTAGCGCCGCTGCCTGCATCTCTTCTTAGGGTGCCTCAAGTCTGTTCTCGCTGAAAGGGCCCAGGGGACCCTGCAGCCGCCCCCAGGCAGCGAGGCCCGCTCGAACAGCCTGCTCAGCCATTGTCCTAGCGAGTGATCTCAGAGAGCTGTGCTGGAGTGAGGGAGATATCAAGACACCTTGTCAGTTCAAAGCATTTTAGGGTTGTTTGAAATCCTCTCCACGTCAACGTAAGCAGCCTCAGTATTTGAACAGCTGCTTTGAACAGTGAAAGGGAATGAGCTGAATCAAAACCTGGAGGTGTCTCCCCGAGACACCTTCAACGCGCTTTTATGCGGGTTGGAGAAAGGCAGACCTGCAGACTCTGCCCTGGCCGGGTCAGCCGCAAAAAAAAAAAAAAAAAAAAAAAGCCACCCCCACGACGGTGGGGGTGGGGGTGGCGGGGGGAGGGAAGATGAAGAAGCCCCCATCTGGAGCTAAAACCCCGGAGAGTCTGGGTTCCCGGAGCCCCAGGGAAGAGTCGCGCCGGGAGACAGACAGGAAGCCGAGGCTACTCTGGACCCGGCGTTCGCGCCAGCCGGGCCTCCGGCGACAAGCAGGGAGGCGGGGGAAGCGCGGGGGGGAGGTGGGACACAGAGCCCTGGTGCGCGCCCAGCCCTGCCCGCCCGGCGATTGGCCCGGCTCCGAGGTTGGGGGTGGGGTGCGGAGGCTGAGGCCCAGGGGTTGGGCATTGCTTTGTGTACTCCCGGGGATTTATTGGGTGTATTAATCCGGGAGAACTACCCCGCTTGCCCTGTTGAGAACGTTCTGGCTCCAATGTCGGCCAGCAAAATGCGGGCGGGCGGACGGGTGGGGGCGGAGTGGAGTAGAGACCCGGGACCTCTACGTGGGATGGATATCAGAGTCCCAGTGAAGTCCCTTTACAGACAGGAAGTTTTGATGTACACGTGCAGCATATTCTTGCCCCCACTCCGCAACCGAGCGCCCAAAGCCTGGGGTTGAGGGGAGGCGGCAGAAGAAGAGGCAGGTGGAGAGACCTTTAAACTGACTCCGAGCCCGGCCGCCTCGGCTTTCTCAGAGATGTGTCTGGAAACCCTGTCTTCTCTCCAGTGTATCACCCCACGGGCTGCAGAGGGCCTTGTCCCTTGAGAAATGTGAAATCAAATCCAGAGAAAAGCAGACACCTGCCCTGAAAGGGCGAAGGGGGGGGGGGTGAGCTGCTGAGTATTCGGACACTGCCCTTCCCGGCGGCTGGATTCCTCCATCTGGGGATCTCTGAGTTCTCCGAGCTGGGAGGCGGAGGGGGGGGGGGGTGCAGAGGGCTGAGGCCCGCCTGAATGGGACGCTGCTGGCACGCCGCCCGTGCGCTCCCAAAGCCCCAGGAAAGCCGCGCGCCCAGCGCCGGGAACTCCGGGCCGCTGTCGTGAGGAGGCGGTCCTGCCCGCCGCCCAGCCCCTTCGCTCCCTGTCGAGGAGCCTCCAGCGCCAGCCGCCGAGTCTGCGCGCTCCGAGGCTAGGACTTTTTCATTTTTTCCTAACCGGGCAAAGTTACGGGATTCCTAGCAGCCCCCAGGCGCGCGGCTGCAGTGGCTCCGCGCTTGCGCTGGGACTGAGCGCCACTCCGTGTGTGTCCTCGCCTTGCCGCGCGGGTGCGCGCGTGGGGGGAAGCAGGTCCGTCCTGTTGGCGGCCTGTGGGTTCGCCCCTCCCCTAACCATTTCTCTCTCCCACACACACGCTCATAAACACAGGGCACGTGGAAATTCTCAGCCAAAGCGCCTTGCCCGGGCGGGTGCTCAACGTGGTGATTTATAAACAACTCAGCCACTCCCCAAAGAGCTCGTTCCTCGTTAGTCATGATGAATTCTCTGGACCGCTCCACTTTGCTGTCTAGATTAAGATGCTCGGAGGCCCCAAAGTGCTCCCCTTGAGCGTTGTTTTGGCTTCCTTTACAAATCCACCACCCCCGGCAGCGCCGGCGCTACAACGCACAGGGCCAAGGGTGAGAGGTGGGGACGAAAGTCACTTTCCCTGGGGTCTTTTTTTCTTTCCCGGCAGCAACTTTTGATTCTCTTGGCAGTATCCGCGCCCTTCACTTGGCCCTGCGTGGTGGTCCCGCTGCTGCAGGCAGGGTCCGCGCCTGAGTCTCTCCCACCAGGCTCGCAGGCTCCTAAGCCCGCGGCAGGCACCTGCTCCCGGTGGCTAGGGAACTGACCAACCGACGCGCTCGCGCCCAGTAGAGCGGCGCCGCGGTGTACTCTCCCGCAGTCTTGCTCTGGAGTTCACGGCTGAAGGCTAAGCTGGAGCTTAGCCAGCGAGCGCCCGAGAGCTGAGTTAGACCAGCCCCACCCGCTGGCGTCCGTAGAAGTTACTAATTAGGAAGATTCCCCTAGCATCAGCCCATTTTCCTTCACACACCGTTCCTCCCTTTGGAAGCAGCTAACGGAAAAGTTGTATCGAGAAGAGCCAGCCGCACAGGCAAGCGCGCACGCAGCTCCGCGTCTCGGCTTCCCGGAGCGGCCCTGGGTGCCGCCACCGCACCCGTAGGCTGAGCACCCCTTGCCAGCGCTTCTGTGGCCTCACACAGGGCAAAGGTCTTCCTGCCCAGACTCCTGGTTTTTCTAAGCCAAAAACTGCGCGCGCCCCAGTGTGTTAGTTAATCTGACAGACTTTATGAGTTTTGTTTTGTTTTCGGTCCAGGCCGCTGCGCTGTCAGAGCAGGCAGTTCCGCGCCTTTACAGGAGTTTCTCACTAGTGGATGAGCGCAGGCTACGCCTGCCTCTCATGGGGTCCTCTCGCCCAGGGGCTGGGAGACAACTGGGCCTGGAACCTAAAAGGAAGGGAGCCTGTGCTAGCGGCGGGTTGGAAGGGAGGGAAAGGACCTTTATTTGGGGGCAAAAGTGTCCGCACATCCTGAAGCAAAAAGCACGTGGACATTGAAATTCTATCCGTGGGGGTAAAGGAGACTTCAACAGGGGGACAAGTCTGGCTTCTGACTCTTGGTTTAAGAAACGCTGGTGTGTGTGTGTGTGTGTGTGTGTGTGTGTGTGTGTGTCCCAAGGTGAATAAAAACGGGACTACCCCTGGCTCCTGCGACTCAGCTTTTCTTTTTCTCTCTCCTTCTTCACCCCCAACCCCAGCCCTAACAGGAAGAGAAGGTAGACCAACACCCCCCCCCCCCACCGCGCGCAGCGCGCGTCTGCTAGGGAGACAGATGGGGGGCGGGGCCCATCCAAGAGGGGCGGAGGAGCCCCGGGGTTGGAGAGCTGGGGTGGTGAGAACTAAGAGAATCTGAATTGGGTGGAGAGGGGGGACTGGAGGAGGGCTGAGAGGACTCGGCGCCCGGGGGGGAGGAGGAGGGGGCAGCTCTACGCCAATCAGTGGCGCCGGCCTGGGAGGTTGCTAGCGGTATCCACGTAAATCAAAGGGCGCGGAGCCAATGGGAGGGGGCGGAGGGGGCGGGGCCCAGGCGCGTGCCGCTGCGAGCTGGCGCTGCCAAGAGAGCGGGAGAGAGCTGGAGAGAGCAGGGAGAGGGGGGAGCGCGGAGCTAGTCAGAGAGTGAGCGAGAGCAAGAAGGAGGGAGAGGAGGAGAAAGAGAGCGAGGGCGGGCGGGAGGCGGCGGCGGCAGCAGCAGTAATAGCAGGAGCAGCAACAGAAGGCGTCGGAGCGGGCGTCGGAGCTGCCCGCTGGGGGAGAGAGAGAGGAGAGAGAAAGAGAGCGAGCGAGCAGAGGAGCCCGAGGCAAAAAAGTAACTGTCAAATGCGCGGCTCCTTTAACCGGAGCGCTCAGTCCGGCTCCGAGAGTCATGGCGACCGCAGCGTCTAACCACTACAGCCTGCTCACCTCCAGCGCCTCCATCGTGCACGCCGAGCCGCCGGGCGGCATGCAGCAGGGCGCGGGGGGCTACCGCGAGGCTCAGAGCCTGGTGCAGGGCGACTACGGCGCGCTGCAGAGCAACGGGCACCCGCTCAGCCACGCTCACCAGTGGATCACCGCGCTGTCCCACGGCGGCGGCGGCGGGGGCGGTGGCGGCGGCGGCGGGGGCGGGGGCGGCGGCGGGGGCGGCGGCGACGGCTCCCCATGGTCCACCAGCCCCCTGGGCCAGCCGGACATCAAGCCTTCGGTGGTGGTACAGCAGGGCGGCCGCGGCGACGAGCTGCACGGGCCAGGCGCCCTGCAGCAGCAGCACCAGCAGCAGCAACAGCAGCAGCAACAGCAGCAGCAGCAACAACAACAGCAGCAGCAACAGCAGCGGCCGCCGCATCTGGTGCACCACGCCGCCAACCACCACCCGGGGCCCGGGGCATGGCGGAGCGCCGCGGCTGCAGCGCACCTCCCGCCCTCCATGGGAGCGTCCAACGGCGGTTTGCTCTACTCGCAGCCCAGCTTCACGGTGAACGGCATGCTGGGCGCCGGCGGGCAGCCGGCGGGGCTGCACCACCACGGCCTGCGGGACGCGCACGACGAGCCGCACCACGCCGACCACCACCCTCACCCGCACTCGCACCCGCATCAGCAGCCGCCGCCGCCGCCGCCCCCGCAGGGCCCGCCGGGCCACCCCGGCGCGCACCACGACCCGCACTCGGACGAGGACACGCCGACCTCGGATGACCTGGAGCAGTTCGCCAAGCAGTTCAAGCAGCGCCGGATCAAACTGGGATTTACCCAAGCGGACGTGGGGCTGGCGCTGGGCACCCTGTACGGCAACGTGTTCTCGCAGACCACCATCTGCAGGTTTGAGGCCCTGCAGCTGAGCTTCAAGAACATGTGCAAGCTGAAGCCTTTGTTGAACAAGTGGTTGGAGGAGGCGGACTCGTCCTCGGGCAGCCCCACGAGCATAGACAAGATCGCAGCGCAGGGGCGCAAGAGGAAAAAGCGGACCTCCATCGAGGTGAGCGTCAAGGGGGCTCTGGAGAGCCATTTCCTCAAATGCCCCAAGCCCTCGGCCCAGGAGATCACCTCCCTCGCGGACAGCTTACAGCTGGAGAAGGAGGTGGTGAGAGTTTGGTTTTGTAACAGGAGACAGAAAGAGAAAAGGATGACCCCTCCCGGAGGGACTCTGCCGGGCGCCGAGGATGTGTACGGGGGGAGTAGGGACACGCCACCACACCACGGGGTGCAGACGCCCGTCCAGTGAACTCGAGCGGGGGGAGGGGCAGAGCGCGGGGCTCCCCCTCCCCTACGGTCCACGGCCCTTTCCCGGCCCCCTTGTTCCCTCTCTAACTTCTGATTGTTCTTTTTATTTTAATTATTATTTCCCCGTCCCTTAAAAAGAAAAAAAAATTAATAAGGAAAGCAACTAAGGCACTGGACTATCCTTTAAACGGTAGCAGGTGTAATGATGTGTTTTGACCTTTACAGGCTAGTACCCAGGCAATGGAGTGGAGTGTCTCATAGAGAGAGTGAGGAGAGAGTGTGTAATAGAGAGAGAGAGAGAGAGAGAGAGAGAGAGAGAGAGAGAAGGAGAGATGGCAAGCACTGAGTTAAATACCTGGCAAAACTAAATAAATTACCAAAAAGAAAAAAAAAATCCACCAAACCGTGATAAACACAAAACAGCTTCCTGATGCTCGGAGTTGGCACATGCTCTGCTGTGTTGATTTAATGTGGATCCTCATCAGGAAGGAGGAAAAAATACACATGTTCTTTGATGTAGTCAAAATTTAACCGCATAAATTTGCACTGCAAGAAAATTGAAGTTTACACCAACAAATTCATTGAACGTATTTTTCTTTCTCCCACGGTTAATTTTGAAATTGCCGGGTTTTGTTTTGTTTTGTTTTGTTTTGTTGTTTTATTCAGCAGGGAGAGTTGAAGCCAGCTCTTGGCTACTCTCCATTTCTAACGTTCTTGTGTTGCCCCTTGTTCTTCTTCCTGTTTGTGAACTTTGGTTACCCTTCAGGCTCCCCCCAACATTGGTGTAACATGTAGTTGCTTCTTTTACCAAAGCAAAAACGATTGGCTTCATACAAAATAAATAATTCTCTGCTTTCAGGAAACGTGCATGGTCTACCCGCTTTATCCAAGGCAAGAGTCCAGTTTGGAATACAAAAATGAGTCAAGCATTGGTTTTTTTGTGACCAGCCACAAAGTAAACTTCATTTTCAGGCAGTGTTTCTGGGGGAGGTTGTGGAGGGGAGAAAAAGAAAAAATCGATAGTGAGTGACTGATTGCTTCATTTTATCAGGCGGGCCCATTGTGAAAGAGCTCAGAGGAAATGTGGAGGTTATAAATGTATTTCCAGAGTCGTCCAACAGAAAGTGGCACTTTGAAGAGAACTAGGGAAATATATATCTTCAGAAACCCCTGTATAGTTCTCTGCCTTCAGTTTTAATAACTTAATTATGAGGAATTATTTGTGCTGAGAGCAGCAGTTAAACTTTGTTCCTCTAATAGCTTTTTTTTTTTTTAACATAAAGAAAATAATCTGGGAACTTAATGGTGTATGCAGAGACTTCTTTTTACTGCACAAATACCCATATGCATACAGAGGATATCTCCACTCTAGGCTGGTTTTGTCTTCACTAGCTCATTTGTTTATCAAATCAAATTTAAGGTCCCACACCTTCTTCTCCTATAATTTATCACAGAAAATACCAGTTTAACCTAGACAGCTTTCCCCCCTTCTTTCACTAAGGAAGCCAAATGAACTGGGGGAAAAATGCTATTTTCTATCCTTCCTTTTCTCCCTTTGTTAATAGTTTTAAGTGCGCTTTTACCTTATCTTGATGGAAAATGGTTAACTCCCATAACAAAAGACTCTACTGGGAAGTGTAGGTGAAAAAACTTCTAACTATTGAAAATAAATACCATTAAACTGTGACCAGTTAAAATATTAAAAAAAAATAATCAGCACAAAAGGGCGCTAAAAGGGAAAACACTTTTTATTAATCTTAAAAGTTTGGGGCTTTTTTTTTTTTCTGGTTAAGTATTAGGCAAATCTTTATTTAAAAAATTAAATTCTCAATACCATGAAATTATGGTTCAGCATCAGATTAGCATTGCACTCAGTAGTTAAGGTTTTAGGAAATATGCTTTATATTGTCTTTTCAAACACCTGTGATTGTTTCATTTTCAATGTTTTTGCAAGATAAATGATGACTTAGAATGGGCATATTTATTTGCCTGTATTTCATTTCCCCCAACGAATGTCACGAGGAGATGGACACAGAGCTGCTGCTTCGGGCTGTATCACACTGCTTGTTCCTGAGGTGTGGGGACTGGCCTCTAGTGAAGCAATCCAGAGCAGGGCAAATAGCCAATGGTTAAGGGAGGAAATGAATTTTCAGATTCTTATTACCAAGTGGGTAAGGTCAGACGCTGGAGTTCAGGGGACTTGTCTATAGCTCCTCTAACTCTCTTGGGTTTACTAGGAAGAAAGTTACCACTGAACCTTACCACTATGTATATATGTTTAATATCTGTCTTTTGAAATGCAGAAATAGTTTAAATGTTTCTTTGTCTATTTTTCTTTTTTTTTTTTTAATGCTACCCAGGGAAATATTTTCATATCATTTTTAAGTGGCCTGCCTCAATGTATATTTATTTCTTTTAAAGCAAAAAGGTTCTGGAAACTGTTTTTCTGTAGCTTTAAATGAGTAGATGAGCAAAATCTATATGGGATGTAATTTTTTTGTTCAGTCTCTTTAAAAATACTTTGTTTTGGTACATTTGGTTGTGCTTGTGGGGAAAATAAAAACGCAGAGATCCTTATATATTTATGTTAAAGTAATATTTTATTATCTACATAAAACAGAAATGCACAATACCTTCATAGTTTGTTCTAATTATTGAAATATCTTTATTTTATTTTTAAAGATAGTGCCAAGTTTTAAGGGGGGGGAAACCCTAGACCTTATACTGACTGAGTTGAGTTGTGTGTAAAATACTTCCCTTCCTTTATACTTCATAAAGTTTTGGAATAAATTTTATGCGTATACTGCCAGGTTTCATGTTTATAACTTTCAGAGCTTTTTTGTTTGTTTGTTTTCAAGAGAGACTACTGTTCTCATTCTACTTCACTTTTCTTTGGAAAAAACTATCAGTCCCAGACCTTTCAGTCACTGTGCCCATAGCACTAAATTGAAATGGTCATTGGGTTTGAGTTCTGATTCGTTTGCCATTTCAGTGTCCAACAGAGAGATGTTTGTCCCCTTTAAATATATGCAGATATCCCTACATCTTCTTTCCAGGTTACCTTTACCTACTGATTGTGCTTTTTTGGAGAGCATCAATCAACTAGGTGGATTTTAATCTTTACCCACTTGTCCTCACATAATTTGGGATCTAAAAGAGCAAAGCTTAGTTAAGGGTATTATTCTTTTTAATAATTAACAAATATCTTCCAACAAAGAGTAACTCTGACAATATGCAAGATGTGTGTTTACCGAGTGATTAGAGGTAGGACCTAAATATTATTCCTGTTAGGTTTAAGGGGGGGGGGGAATGGATTTTGCAATGGTTTATACAATAGTATCTATTTCTCTTCAGGCAAGCAAACAGGCTCTAAAACAGAGAGAGAAAAAAAGAGAGAAGAATGTATGGGAGAGACTCAGGCTGTGATGCTAATAACAGATTGTTTCAGATAGTCTCCTATGGAGCATTATACTTACCAAAATCAGTTTTAAGGTTAGTGGAAAATCCAAGCAGTGTTGGGTTAGTTTACAAGTTTGCTGATACATTTGGAGTGCTCCTTGAAACACTGGTTTAAGCATAAATGTCCATTTTGAAAGGTAGTTTCTGGGCTTATTACATCTGATCATCTTTTCTAACTCCTAGTCAATATTACACAGGTCCCAAACAGATTCAGCCAAATGATCTTATCAATAGTCTGAACGAGAAGTGACAGAAAGAAGAAGTGTTTTGTGACTGCAGACATGCTGATGGGTAAAATGTTTAAGCTGGATATAGATTTGAGTTCTGGGTCAATATCCTCCTCCATTGTAGGCAGAAAACAAGCAGCATCTGCCCTCTGCAGGGCATTTTAGTGGACCTTGAGAAGGCGTTTTTTGTTCTTAGCCACAGGGGCTACTGACTGGAAACCATCACGTGTTAAACGGACACGCCATGGTTTTGACCCATGCTTGCCGTTCAGATTAGAAAGCTACTCGGGCACTTTCATTGCCGGTTTGGGGAATGTATTACACGCTAACGTAAAAAACTCCATCACTGCCACTGGGAGACATTTGTGGGGCAGCCATCCCTAAGATGTTGGCTAGCCACAGTGACAAACCCTTTCTTTTCCCCAAAGACAATAATGCAGAACGCGGCCGTCCTGAAAAAGCTCCTGTGTTTCCTCAAAATATGTCACTTTTCAAATTGATGGTGTACGATGGGGGAGAACGGATCATGTGGGAGAGTCGTGTGAAGGTCAGATAGAGGGAATGGCCACAAATAACATTGTGCTTGGCACTTGTAGACATTCTCAGTTCCCATGAAGTTACCTCCTTTATATTTCAGATGGCGGCAACAAAAGCACTCTCCTTCCCCTCCTGCTCATACCAGTGAAAGCCACACACTGGTTGGCAACACGTTCTGATGAAATGGCTTTCATAAAGGCACTCATCCTTCTATCTTCTTATTTCTCCAAAGCCAACTAATAAAGAGATGCAACAGCAACAATGGGGGGTAGGGGGGGATGGCATGGGAGTGCTTTGGTACCTGTGCCTGTGCATCTCTAAGCTGCATACATCCGCCTTTCCTTTGCCTTACTATGGAAGCAGCTTGAGTAGTGCTGTGTTTCTGGGGGAGAGAAATTATCGTTTTGTCACTGGTTTCTGTGATTTGTCTTTGTTGATTTTTTTTTTCAATCGGTTTATAGAACTCTGTTCTAGATTCTATTGAATGCCTAGACAAGTTAAAGAATGAGATAAAGAGCGGAGCGTTTACAGAAAAAGAAAGAAGTGAAGGGAGGGTCAAAGGTAAAAGTGTTTCTTTGGGTCTGCTTGTATATTTCAATGAGGCAAAAGGGACAGTGTCTATTTAAAATGAAAGTACATCTGGAGGTACTATGAATGAAGCTTCACAATATGACGGAATGGGATGTTCAGCTAAATTTTATACCAACAGGATCCCTATTCGGGAAAGTTTACTTTTTCAGTGGTGCATAATCTCTTACCAGGGGGCAGATGGTGGGAGGAGAGAACCAGGGCTCCTGGTACCTATTCTCACCGCTGGATTCAGTACAGGAAATAATGCAAAAGTGGTAGGGGCTTGCCTCTCAGCTAGAAAACTGTGGAATAAACTTGCCCACCTTTGTAGAACTTGGGCCAGAGTTATTCCAATGCGTCCTTATCTAGAGGTGGGTACAGGAGGACCAGAAAGTGGCTTTTGAGTTTTCTTAAAGCCTTCGCTTGGTTATGGAGATAAACAATCAGAATACTTTCACATTGTTCTTACGTTTTGTGGGAAGCTGGGAAATTTGTTCCCTCCTTTATTTTTTAAGAAAAAGAAAGTTAATTAACTTTATCATGTAGTACTTTCCCTTTACCTTAATAACAACTCTGCTTGGCTTAGCTGTTAGAGGTTTTAGAAACAATATCATATCCCATCAAAACAACCCTGGCCTCTTATTGTTAGAATTCTGGTTGTTGATAACATTAAGATGTATTTCTTTAAAAAAAAAAAAAACATGTCTGAAATGTTATTTAATACACCAGTAAAAGTGCATCTATATCTTAAAGTTTATTCCTTTCACGTCTTTCTGAGTTTTTATAGCTCTTTGTCTGAGATTTGGGGGAAGGGGGGCAAAAAAACTTCCATATGCGGTTCGTACGTGAAGAGTCTGGGCTCTGGAGTGTGGTCTGTGGCTGGCGGCACACAGCTCTTTGCTCTCAGAATGGGGAGCTGTCATCTAGAAAAAAAGAAGGAAATAAATGCCCCACAAAGACTCACTTGTCACTGATTTTAGAAAGACAGGGGAGCATTAGGACCCCATCTGAGCAATATGGAGGGGATTTTGATTGTTATAAATTGTATACGATTAACTCTCGGCGTGCAGAACGACAGCAGTAGGAAACCTCGCTGTGGAGTAAATTTGAACCTGCATCCTTTTTGATTTGGGGCATATATTTTTCCTCCCGCCAGTGTTTCCTCCGGGTTTGTTGTTTAAATTTGGGGAGGGGGGGGAGAGTAAGGCACACACACAAATTTGGCCAGAGTTTGGCAGGAGAGTGGGGAAAAAAAGAAAAAGTTTCTTGCGGGTGTGTAATACACATCAGCCATTGTAAATCACTGGGCTTTAGGGTTCAGGCAAATCCTCGTGGAAAGGGGCGGGCGGGGGGGGGGGACTTCTTTCCCTCCTTCTGTTCTGAAATCTCATTCCGGCAGAAGAATTTTTACGTTCCACAGCGCACGATTCTGGAGACAATGACTCGACATTAATAACTTTTTGTTTGTTTGCTCCCTTCACCAAATATTTCTTCAAAGTTGTTACAGCGCCTGGCCAAGGAGGTCGAGGGTGCTGCCGGCCGCTTCTCCTCGGTGCTCAGGCCCGAGGAGGCACCCCAGCCCCGCGGTGCCACCCCCACCTCGGGGAAGCCCAGGCCGCTGAAAGGAAGGCCCGGACTGCCCAGCTTGCCGGTGCAGGGAGGAGAGAGGCGCGGGGAGCCGGGCATTCCCTGTACTCCATCCCCGGCCCTCGCTCCGGGACAGCGAACAGCTCCAGAGTGTCTGCCAGGAACCGGGGGACTCTGCGGCTCTCGGGGCTCCGACGTCCGAATCTTTACGGGGAGGGTCGATAGCCCGGACGTCGCCGGCTATTCCATCGCACTCACTCTCCAAGGAGACCCTGGAGGTCGGGAGGGGGGGAGGCAGCCAACGAGTGGTGGGTTCTCTCACCCGAAGCTGAAGGTAGAGGTGGGGGCGGGGGAGGGCAGATGCCTTGGGCACAGCTGCCGCCCCCGGGAAAGTTGGTTACAGTCGCAGTGAGTTGGCGGGGCCTCTTTAGGGGCGCGTGCGGCTGGGGCAGAGATGCAATGGGGCGCAGAGGTGACCGAGAGTCGAGGGTCCAGGCGCCAGGGAATCTCCGAGCTTTGTGCCTGCGCGGGTTTTCTGCTTGACTCTGCAAAGTTGAGCCCAGGACCTTGCTTTCCTCACAAGAGAGGCAATCGTGGGAGAAGGTGCCCCAAGAGAAAAGGGCAGAGGAGGCAACTGCTGGAAAACTGGGGAGGAAAGGGGGAAGGAGAGCAATTTGGCCCTTTCTTGTTTATTTGTTTGTTTGGGGGGGGGGGGGCGAGTGGGAGGGAGGCAAAGAGTAGAGCAAAGGAGCCAAGAGCTGGCAAACGAAGTTCTGAAGCATGTTCCCTTCAGCCCACACCCATCAAACTTCTGGCTGTTCCTGACCTCAGCTCCCTGCCTCCAATGAAGAAGAACCTACCTACCAAATGCTGAAGCTTGGAAGAAAACGAACCTCTAAACCCCTCGGAAACGGACCACTCCCTGCTGGGTCTAAAGTCGCTCTCGTGTCGACAGTACAGGAGGAAAACCAGTTCCCCAGCGAAGGGAACCAGGGAGCCCTTCCTGGGCACCCCAGCCTCCCAAGTCAGAGAAGCGGGCAGCGAGCGGGGAGGGGCCACAGCCCACGATCAGAGACACGGAGTTCCCCTCTGCAGTCTGGGCATTCACAGCACGGGCCGGACGCCCCCACCCCCCGCCTCAGCCCTCCAAGGCTCCTGGGAGGAGTCGCCTAATGGGAAGAGATCACTCAGTTCTTAAAGCCCTCGTAGACAGGTGCTGGGAGTTCTAGCACGGCCTTTTGCCTCTGGAGGAGGAGAGGCCAGGCGGGGAACAGGGGCTCTTGGGGCCTGGGGGGCGCGGCGGGGCCAGGGAGGCGGGAAGCTGGCTGAGGAGGGGTGGGAAGGCGGCCAGGGACGGAAGCAGGGGCTCTGGCGGGGCGCAGGTCGGTGCTGGCGCCTGGCCCGGCCTCCGCCGGGCGCTCCGGGCCTCCTGCTCGCTCCCGCCGCGCCAGCCTGCGGCCACTCACCGGGCCCCGCGGCCATCCCGGGCGAGGACGCACGCAAACAAGGATGCTTCTATTTACTCGCCTCTGCCTGTGGATTTCTAAGACATTCAGCAGGCACAATCATTAAACTAATTTGTATTTGATTGTTTGGGCGGACGGAGGGTAGTTTTATTGCGCTAAGCATTCAAGCAGGCACGCATCGCTGATTACCAGTATACATTAAATAAAGTTGTTTGTACACATTGTCTTACCACATATAGGCAGAGGCTTATTATTCTAATTACTCTAATTAGTGCATTGAAATGTTTTCTACTTGATTTGAGGAGACAGTGATTAGTTCTATTACTTCTTTTAACTCGTATTTTATGGAAAACTGTTGGTGCATGTTCAAATTACTTTATTTGCCCCTGGAATATAACGCTGACCCAAACGCAGTGAACTGCACGGCCCTTGTGGGGCCCCAACTTTGATGTGGGCCTCAGCTTGGAAGAGGCGTTTGTTATTTATTATTTCCCTCCCACCCGCGCGGCCGCGTCTCCCAGCGCCGGGGCCCCGTCGCCCCCGCCCCATCCCGAGCCCTAGATGCGCGCCGGCACTGGCCGAGCCCAGGCAGACGTGGATCCGAAACCCGCTCCGGCGCCGCATCGCTGGCCTGCTGCCCCGCTGGTTCCCTGGGTGCGATTACTTTTAGAAGACGCCCTTAAGCATATTTTCCGTGAATCTGTTTCTTGGGCTTTAATGTTACTATTAATTGATAAGATCAGCTCATCAAACATACTATTTCGATAGGGAATTGTAATTAAAACCTTAATCCTGTTTGAGACTTTTTTCCCTTTAAATTCCTTTTTCTTATGGAAGGGGTGCAAAGTTCACTATAAAAGTATTATAACAGGGAGATTAATTCGTTATCTAAATAACAATCTTTGCTATTGATCCAACGCACTTTCCTGCACCTTTTGTGTTGCTCGGGGAGACCCTTAAAAAGGAGAATATGACAAAGCAGAAGATTTGGACCGAGTCCCGCAGACTCGGATCGACCTGGCAGGGCGAGGGGGTCAGCGGCCCTCCCCGCCTTAAGCACAATCTGAGGAAGCTCCCGAGGTGGGTCTTGGCCGGTCCGGAGACGCCACCGGGAAGCGCCGCTTCCGAGCCGCAGGCCTGGGAGCCCGGCCTCCTCCGCGCTCCTCTCCCC